TAACAATATTTATATTTAAACAGGAAATAGAATATAACAAAATATGACAAATTATATTTTATTTCTTGTGTACTAAAACTCTTATTATAGACGATGATGGTAAAGAAATTTCTATTAGACGCCTCCGCTACTTATCACTCGACCGCCTAGACAGCCGCCATTGTGCGGAGTCATTGACACTACATGGGGAATGTCCATCTTAATCTCTTAGTAACCCGAAATTTGACTGATAGGGGAAGAACTGTTTAATGGATGTTAATTATACGTTCATTCAAAACGCCTTGCTCTTGTCTCTGTCTCTTGATTTATACAGTTCTTTGGGAATATTAACGGAGTCCGGTTAATATTGTTCTTAAGCAATATTAACGGTGTCCATTTGATATTGGTGAATCACGTTTATTTAGCTGCAGTAATAAAATGCTTACTAACAAAGTCAATGTCAAAGTGTCTACGTGAATACAGTGTTGAATAAAATCATTTTAGGGATTTTATCGTGTTTGATTTTGTTTTAAAATTCCAACACAGTAGAGCCACGGTTGCCGCAGAGAGCTCTCTTAAAGAGAAAAATCTCTATAATATTTTTATTTGACCTATAATATTATGTCCGTCCTGTTTGTCGCAAAGGTTGAAAGTTGACACAACACGCTATTAGTATTATTTTAAAACTGATCATACAATAAAATTTAATTGGATATAATTTGTTTTGTAAATATTTTAATTAATTTTATAAAATTTATTTATATCAGAAAATACAAACATAATTATATTCTTCATGCTTTTATAGATCAAAAGATGTTCAGGAAGGCTTACCCCTCTATATATATCTACGAGTAAACTTGCAAACACATTTAAATTTGAGTGGTGAGACGTTTTAGCATTTAAATACTACAGTCTGAAATAGTTTGAACCCGGATCTCGGTTCGACCGAGCTTAGTGTCATGCACGAGAACCAGTCTTTTCATACACGTATTCTGGTTTGAGTGGATATACGTTCTTAGTATGTGCATCGTATTGTATAGTTTTTTTTTATTTAGATCTGACATTTACTTTTGTTAACATACTGAATTCTGCCCGCTGAATTCACCACCATAGAATATAAAGGAACGTAATGAAGGTTTACCCAAAATATTTGGAATGTGAAACTTCCGTAAGGTATTTTATAATATGTATGTTATACGCAATAACAACACAAAAAACCTCTATATTAATCTGTATCCCTTGTGTATTACTTTTTAATACCTCGATGAAATCATTAGTTAGTTATAGGCGAGTAGTGATAGCTCAATGCAGATACTCGCTTTGTCATTATACTTTAGCAACCTGAATATATATCCCGGTGTCAGCACCAATAAAATTGTTAATTTCAAGTGCCGACTTATCGCGAGCTCAACGGTGAAGGAAGATATCATGAGGAGACGTGCATATTTTCGAAATTTTGACCAGAAACATTTCGAAGTTATCCGAAGTCTGCCTATCCGCAGTGGAGTTGCGTGGTGGACTTTACCCTAATACCCTCTGTACAGAAGAGGCATTTGCTGAACAAATTAGATTTATTGCTCCGAAGAAAACTGTAGTTTCAATGAACATAAGAATATACGTCAGTGCCAAATTAAATATTCGCTTCGATTATTTCGGGGCTGCGGTTAACGAATCTATTAAGATGATGTCTTATATTTGGAATAAACAACCACAATATCAGGTTTTGACTGCACAAATTACAGTACAATTACCTCTTTTAACATGCTAGTTACGACGCAATGACGTCACCGCGCTGAGGTATTAACCCAGTTATCTAGTTTACTTCCCGAAAGGCAGTGACCTTGCTCGGCCGTTATCATAACAATGTGGCAGCAAGTAAAGCAATTAGACATGGATAATCTCATATCATGCTCGCGTCTCTTTGTATCTATTTACTTAGAATCACATTATTAGAAAACTTGTCCGAATACCTTATTTCTTCGTCTAGGAAAAACGAAATGTCTGAATCAAACCAGTTGATCAAATCTCGATTCAAAACGACCAACAGATAGAGAGAGACGTTGTTTCGTTACCATACGAACTCTTAATGAGTTTGGATTTATTCAGCAACTGTACATTTGGCTATAAATTCACATTTAGACTGCTGTTTGTGGCGACTTTTCGTATTAAGCTTATAAGCTTTTCTAATTCTACTGTGAAATGAAAGAGCCTGAAGAGATCGTATGACAAATTCGTGTTTGATGTGACAAGCAATGAAACAACGGCCTCTTCTAAAAAGTTTTCAATATATGCAAGCCCTCACTTAACATCAGGTCTGCTTATATCGATTCGTAGTTCGAAGAATGTTCTAGACAGATTCACCGGTCAGAGAGATGTCAGAAGCATGCAAGGTGCGTTGCAATACCGCGGGGTGGAATCTCAGCGATATCGGCAAGCAATCCCTGAATGTCACATTGACTCGGTGTAAAAAACGGCATTGGACGGCATATCTTATGTTCTAGGAAAACAAGCTTGGTGACCGTAATATTCTAATTATCTTTGCGGCTTATTGTAATGCGTCTTTGATCTTTTATAGCTTATACCACTATGTATTTATTTTATTTTTTAAACACTTTGGTTTCCCGCGCTGTGTGTGAACTCTTCTATCTTTTCAAATCGTATTTCCTTTGTCAAAACAGAAAGATAAACAATACCTTTATCCAATATGCTTGTTTCTCTTCACCATAATATGTCAAACAAGTTAAGTGACTACTAATATTGATTAGGACAATTTTTAAATGTTCATTTGATCTGTAACAAAAACAAGTACAAATCTATAAAACAATGCATAGGAAACAATCGAACCGCGTAAGATTATTCCCACTTTTTATCGTGATACGAAAATACGAGAACAAAACAAAAACGAATAACAAAGCGCCCATGAACTACGTCTGCTTTGAACCCGTTTGAATCTCAACAAACACTGGGCCTTTTGTCAGCGGCTATGTCTCGACCTATCGCGTATCATCCTGTTAAGTACAGCGATACTAGTACTTATATTCTGAAGGATAAAGCCTACAATTGTTTGGCGTCACGCGGTATAGCCTCAAAACATGGTGAATGAAACTTTGAGTCCCCTCAGTGGGTGCGTTCGTATCCGATGTTTATTAACACCGTGGCCCAGTTGGGGTGGTGTCGGGAGCACTTTGTTGATCGTATCTATCAGTGGGACGCTGGTTCTCACCACTTGGACGGTGACCGTCAGATTTTTGGGTCGAATACACCAAGGGGCCTGTCAACACATCGGCAAACCCTCGGGTGTAGCAGATGTCCATGGGCGGCGGTATCATTTAACATCAGGTGAACTGCCTGCTCGCTTGACAACTTTTCACATAAAAAGAAAGGCTCCAACGGCACATACAAAGCCTTTCTATGTGTTCGAACATAGTTCTGGACAGTATCATTGCATTGCTTTATGGAGTGTTCGAAACGTCGAGAAATAATAATTTAAAATTTTTAACAAAAAAATATCCGACTAAAATAAAACAAACATAAACTTATAACATTTGAGGATTGCCCTTGATTTCTCTGGGATGCCATCATCAAATCTGGGTTTTCTTATCATGGTACCACCCTTGGGATATCTCCTGTCCTACAAAAAAGAGTCATTAAAATCGGTTTTCATACGATCGACGAAGATCCGCGAACACACAAAAAAAATAAAAATTTATACGGTCGAATTGAGAAACATCCTCCTTTTTTGAAGTCGTTTAAAAAACGGAATTATAATCGATAAAATCCATCAAATAGTTTGCTGTGACAGTACGTATTTTATTTGTAAGGAAATTTAGCATATTTGAAGTTCATCATTTTAAACATAAAGATAAAGTGAGATCTATCGGGAAAGTTAACCGTAGGCCGGTGAATGATGAATCTTAACTTTTTTTGGAGTGTCATTACGCCCGAAAGCGACACTTTGAACTGATAGAGAGGTCACTGGTCTCGAAAAACAGACGATCTATCAGTTACTATGCATTCAAAGATTAAAGTGAGGGATACTAGAATATGCTTATCGAATATCCTCAGGTTCCCAAATCGTCTTTTATTGGTATGTGAGTGGCGTTGGTAGGGTTTATTTACAATAGATTTGTTCACTTTTGTACTTCTTTTATCTTTCATTGAATCGATGACTAACGTACTTTTATGAAGTTTTCAATTAAGACTTAAGTTCATAGTTTCTTCTGAGGGAAGACAGTTAAAATATTACAGTTTAGTAGTACATAGTTGCTTTACTGTTTGAGTAATCGGTTAGGATCGAGTGCAATTTTTTTCAAATTTATAGAGATTATAGGATGGAGAATCGATTTCACGAACAGTGGTTGTTCGTAATTAGAGGCGTCCGCGTCTGAGATCGCCCATGCACATTTCCTGGTCGCTCGGCGCGTGCGAATATCGACGACCGCGCTGAACGCAACGCGTGCACTCCTGAATACGTATAATTACGCGGGCCGCGGCCGGTTTTACGCGCACGTGTGATAATGTCAGCGCGGCCGGCCCGCCAGTTGTTTGGGAGACGCCACCACAGCGCCACGTCACGCGCGCTCGCTCCGCACCGAACACGCTCATTCAAAACTATACAACCCCCCCCCCCCCCCCCCCCCCCCCCTCTCCTATTAAACCAACGACGTCAATCATTAGCGCGGACTCAGCCGATAATCGCGTTTCCTCGTTACAAAATCGTCGCACAAGAGGCGGCCGGCTTTCGTAACCCGACCCGGCGGCCGGCTATGATGCAACTCCGCCACGCTCCCCCATCGGGCGCCGGCTAACCCACTTTCCGGGCGCGCTGCCAGTTTGAAAGCGCCGAATTTGCACCGCTCCGTGTCGCGTCGATACGTTGAATGGGAGCGCGCGCTCACCCCGCGCCGTCCGCGCCCGCCGTCCAATCGTAGCAGGGCGAGGGCTACCGCCGCGTGTCCGCCGGCCAATCGCGGCTCGTTTACGAATTCGCAACGCCGGAAAACGCCGATCGCGCCCGACAGGAGCCGAGGCGCGCGCCGCCAACCCCCAGTGCCGCCGCAGCCCCCAAGATGGCGACAACGGTCGCCGCCGCGCCGCCCGCCAGCACGGCGGCGGTGACGAAGAGGCCGTCCTTGAAGAAGTACCGCGCACCGACGCCGCCTCGGAACCAGAACGTAGACGAGAACAGTGACAGTGATAGAGACAAGGAGAACAAAGCGCTCCCGGCCGAGGGCGACACCGAAGCGCCGGAATGTTGTGTGCAAACGAAAGCGGAGGACGAGGCGCCCACTCCGGAGAAGGGGTCGCCGGCGGTGAGGAGGCCGGCGAACAGGCTGAACGGCAACGTCGATCGCGGCTCGGTGCTGTCCAGGGCCGCGATGTTCGAGGCCGGCAGCCCCAAGGCCAAGGAGAAGGACCCCGCCGAAATGTCGCTGAGGGAACGCAAGGCGCTCTTCGAAAAGAACAAGGGGACGGCGATTGTACCCAAGGCGCCCTTCGGTCTCGCACCCTCCGTCAAAACGCTGCAAGGGGATAAAGGTAAGAATTCTATTTATAGTCGAGTAGTTTAGTGCCAATGGTGAACACACACACATACATGATTAACAACACTAAATAAATACTTCACGCACTTTTCTGAAGTTGCGTCATAAATTTGTTTTTGTAACAAACTTTTTCTAAATTAGTGAATTTGCCGCCACTAATTTACTTGTAAAACACCGGGCGTCTGTTCAAAGTGTTAACCGATTCGAAAATTTTAACGATCTAGATGGAACCCGAGATTAAATCGAGGCGATTTGCAAAATAAATATGGCCAAATTTGCATTAAAAATCCACTCCGCTTAAAAACTGAAACCCATTAGTTGTACAGATAATTTGAGTCGTTTATCAAGTGCCTTGAGTTTAAATAAACAACTTGTTCAAAACATTCAAAATTATTGATAGAATAAATAATAGAATAACAATCGGCTAAGACAACGTCTGGTTTCAAGAAGGTCACCAGAAAAAAAAAAAAGCACACGTTAGCATCTGAATTTCCAACCCGACCCGTCGAGCTTTCTCTCTGCCAATCGATTTCCAACCTTGTGCTGTAAAGAATTGCCAGGGAATATAGATCTATTATCGTTTAACTCATCGATTCCAGTTCTCGGTAGGTTTTTTCCCCCGCCATATGGTAATTATGTAATGTCATAACGGTGCTTTGGGTTTTTACGCAAATGTATCGCGAGACATGAAACTTTTCCCTGTTGAAAGTTTCGCCTCGAATTGATAATAATCGATATACTCGTATATTTCTTAGTAATGGTAGTTTTGATCAAAGATTTTTGGATATGAATGTGAATTGATTATTATAGACGTTTGTACTTCAGAGGGTGATAGCTTGTGGGTGGGTATTTAACCGTGTTTCCATAAAAGTGACCTTTGCTTTACCGAAACTGTGTTTGGCGAGCTCGATGTTTCTTTTAAAGCAACTTTCAGACAAAAACGCTTGTTAATAAGTCATAAAAGCAAGAACAGTCGATGGGTTTGTCTTAGGAATTTACGATTATTTATGTTTATAATAATTTAATACGTGTAACTGATACCGACATTGAAGCGAATTATTCATTCGTTCATAGTGCTAGTGATGTCTTAGTTATCTTATGATCATTTTTTTTTTCTAATTACATAGTAACCTTATAATAATAACCTTATTCAGATGCTTTTGTTTATAACAGTTACGTGATCTATAAACAAATGTCGACTTGGGTTAAATACGTGCTTTTATCTTATCCTTTAAACGAGCAATTCTTGTATATATATATATATATATATACGGCTCCAGCAATTTTCATGAAATTTAGTATGTGCGTAGATTCGGGGGCGAAAAATCGATCTAGCTAGGTTTCATTTTTAGGAAATGTCCTTTTATCCCTGTTTTCAGGGAATGAAAAATATCATTCGAATATGACGGTAAATTTCGCCGCAAAAAAAATTGTTATAATAGCTCGGTTGGTAATCGGGCGGCCCCAAAACAGTCGGCCGCGGTTCGTATCACGATCATTTACACACTTATTTTTTTACTTTTTTTTATATACCAGATAATTGTTTTTTTATTTTTTATTTTTTGTCGATCAAGATGATTTTGTTATTTTTTTCCCTTTTTTTTAAAGTTCTTTCTTTTGTGATTTTGTTCGTTCATATTTTCTTATTATTGCGTCGGTAAGATCGAAAAATATTATGCATATTTCATTAGCAAGCGGGTCGCCTCATGGTATAAAGTGATCACCGCCGCCCATGATCATCCCCCAATTTCAAAACAATATTAAAATAACGATGGAAGCTTTAACCTTCCATAATTCTTCATTAACTTCAAATATTTTAAAGCATATGGTCGAAAACTAGAATTAAGTTAATGTTTTCATAAAATGACTATCTAGGTATCGGCAATTTGTTTAAATGAAAAATAGCGAAGTGGACTGAAAAGAATTTATTCTTCAAGTACCTTTTATAGATCATTACTTGTTATGGATGAGTTAAACATTATACATAATTACTAATGTCTGATCACTTTATTGTGCGAAAATTTCGAAACTAGACTCTGAAATAAAACTAACTAAGAAATAAATATTTCCACAGCTAAGAAAGTTTGAGTTTCCTGGTACGATGTTATAAACCCTCTTTAGTGGGGCGTCGAAGAAAATCGTTTCTCCATTGCATCACTATAAATATAATGGCAGCCGTAACGTTTTCTTGCAAATCGAATGTTTTTGCGTATTTCTGCTCATCATCAACGAGCCTATCTATCCACTGTGGTGGAGCAATCGAGCTTACGAGACACCTCCTGCTACACGAATATACCAAGCTCGACCCCGGTACCACGGCTTGCTGGAAGACTGATGTTTCAAATATCCATGAGCTGCGGCGTTTGCCTTCTTTTCCATAAAGAAAAGACCGACGTCAAATTGAATATTTTTGCCGCCAGTTACATCAGTTAGTTCTTCATAAAATGGCCCGTTATAATGTTGTTGACGTGTTTATCCCTTAACGTCGGTCCTTATTACCGCCGGGTGAACCGCTGGCTTGTAACCCGGCTCTTTGAAAAAATAAAACTGCACGTACATACTTAATGGTTTACATATTCCCTCTTGGTATGAGGTTACGTTACGTTCGCAATCATATCTGTTTACTGATACCGTTTCTTCCGCAACCACCGACGCTCGTGTGAAACCGCGGACGCATGCAGATTTTAGAATCAGATAGCCCAACCCTCCTTTTATTGCTACATTACTACGCGCATGTATGGTACCGCTCCGCCGAATTAATGCCGGGGCACGCAGAAGACCGGCCTGGTTTGGTGTTTACAGTTTTACGTTTTCTCCAGTGATTGAGGTAACCTGGGCACACCCTCTTATAGTCCGTCAATACGACTGCAGAACAACTGGTGTTGTGCGAGTTATCAAATGAAGTAAGGGGAATCAAAATCCGAAAGGTTTCATTATAATGCTATTGCGCTTCTCGCACTTTGTATGCAAGCTACCTGTTCTTTTGACTAATTGTTGTTGATTTCGACTATGGCTTTGTATTGCATTTTTTACTTTACACTGATAGTAGACAAAGATATAGGTAATAGTTATTTAAATATAAGAGTGATACGTTATATTATTGCTTCTAACAAAAGCATGTTATTTCTCTCTCGGTTATGCAAAATTGCATCGACGCAGTTTTCATATTCTACGACGCAACGTTCGCGTATTCGCTGACGCGACAAATTTCATTCGCACCTACCTACTTTATAAAAGAAGAGAACTATATTATTATACAAACGATAATGACCAACAACAGACAAACAAGAGAACCTACACTAAAATGTTTTTAATTTGTGAACCAGAGACAAAAGGCGCACACGTCTTTGATAGTCTTTTGTTTGAGTGGTGATTCAATTATAACAAAGTACCTGGAGGACCGAGTTTGACTCTGTTTTTTTTTTGGTAAATCGTGAATTTTGGAAATTAAAAAAAATAAAAAATAACGAAAGCAGTGATCTGGTATAGAAAAAAAAGTAAAAAAAATAAGAGTGTAAGTGATCGTGATACGAACCGCGGCCTTCTGCTTCGGGGCCGCCCGATTACCGACCTAGCTATTATAACATCTTTTATTCGGCGAAATTTACCGTCATATTCGAAAGATATTTTTCATACCCTGAAAACAGGGATAAAAGGACATATTCCAAAAAAGAAAACTAATAGATCGATTTTTCGCCCCCGAATCTACGCACGTACAAAATTTCATGAAAATCACTGGAGACGTTTCCGAGATTCCGATTATACAGGGAGATTTTTTGAGAAGTGCCCAAATTTACACAGGATGTTCAGACTCGGTAGTATAATCGTTTATTGAAATAAAAAACAGTTTTTTTTTTCCAAAAAAAATGCCATTCTATTCCCTAAAAAACAGAACGTGTTGACAATGGTCATAATACCTAAATTTTTCTGTGCACGAACTTGTGTGCGTGATAGTTATGAATGATCGCGCGTAAAATAAATGAGTTGCGTATAAATCACGCACTTTTTGAGATAAGTTCAAATGAAAGTAATTAATTACTTACGAATGATTTTAAATATTTATCATTTTTTATATAACATTATTTATATCTAGAATTAAATAAAAAAAATTGATACACTTAGAAAAGCCACCCTGTATATATATATGTACAAGAATTGCTCGTTTAAAGGTATTAGATAAACATTGATCAATACACAGCATTATGTCCCTTAAAGACCGGTTAAAATAAGTATTTCCTATCTAATTTTACGTACGACTCCGCTACTAAGTTATTAAATTCATACTTATAATTATTCATACATAATATCTTCATTTACTCCATATTAAGTATGCAGTACGTAGGGTCGTATCTACCTTTTTCGCTTAGTCAGAACCCATTGTAATGAATTCGATCACCTTTTACGCAGTCAAAATTCGACGTAATAAATGACTCGCAGTTCCTACAGTCGCTTCTGCGACTGAGGTATTCCTGAAACGATGCGCAATTGGGTCGTGTTCGAGGAAAATGTATGTATAATTGAATAGGTAGGTTCATTATCTTGCTATACGCCGACTCGGCACTTTTTCGTATTGTTTCAATGCTTAGCTTCAATGCTTATCACCGGTTTTGGGAATCTTTATGTATTTCTGCTTTTAGGACGTTTTATGAAACTGCTTCCGCGTTTGGAAATAATTGCATCTGATATGAAATAATCATCATCAACGTTAAAGCCCTTAATTGTAATGATTTATATTTTTATTAAATTTTAGTGGGGCTAATATAAAAAAAAATTATGGGGCTTCTATACAACAGACATGACATTTTTGTCGTTTTCATAGATGGTACGGAACTTTCCACGCGCGAGTCCGACTCACACTTAGCCGGTTTTTTTTTAATTTGGGATCGTTGAGTGTTCTTAAAATCTCGATGAATTAATTCCAACGTCTGTATGGACACGTAAAAGCGTTATAAACCTTCATGTTAAAAACAAACAAAGAGATTAGTCACGGTGATG